GACGAGGGTGGGGCTTTTAAACAATTATGGGAGAGAGAGAGGGTACACCCATCCAAACCCGCCCCAGTTGCCATTCCTAGTAGGGATGTTCTATTAAAATCAATTTTGGCCTATGTAAACTTCTCCATGGCTAGTTTCATGGCCTCACATTTGTTCATGGCTTATCCTAATCTGTTACACTTTTGCTATGAATACACTGTGTACACTTCTCCATGGCTTGTCCACATACATACATTATGTACACTTTTGCTATGTAGAGAGAGTGGCTCTCTTGAGATGATGTAGTCTCTTCTTCTTACCCTAATTGAGCCTATAATGACTTTTATCCATTCACATTTTTTGGAGTGCTATAAGCAACTCTTACAACTTGTACACTATTTCCACATCATTGGACTTATCACTATACTATAATGGGTTAGAACTGAGGATCATAAATTAGTTCAATCTCATATCAACCCATGTTAATTTCAAACGCATTAGACCATCTCCAATGCTAAAAGCTATTTTTACATGCCAAATCTATATTTTGACAGGTGCTACAGTGTCAAAATACTACATTTTAGTAATTCTGCTCCAATGATGCATTTCATGCAAAATGCTATTTTTTGACACAACCACCATTCTTTTTCAACTACCATTCCCATCATTCATATTTGCATCAGTAATATTAATATTAGACACATTCCAAGTCAAATTGTAGATATTAGAAGAAAACTAAAATTAAACCTAATTAAAAAGAAGCAAAAATCTAAAATATTTGGTCAAAAAAAACCAAAAAAATAAAATAAAAAATAAAAAACAAAAGAAAAAAACAGAGATAGAACAAAATGATATAAAAGAAAATAAAATTAATGTGATCAAAAATTCAAAATCTATTAAAGGAATTCAGGAAAATTTTAATATGGAGTACATGAAATTCAACTAACTGAAGCAACAACATACTATCTATAATGAAAAACAGAGTCTATCAACAAAGATTGTTAAAAATATCCAAAAGTAAAAATCCCTTCTTCTTCTTTTTTTTTAAGAATAATACTAACAATATAACACAATCTAAACAAAAAATCCAAAATTAGATTAATATAAGAATGTTAGAAGAACAATTGATTTAATTCCATCAAATTACAATTTTTTATGATCTTTTTTAAATATATATATATATATATATATATATATATATATATATATAAGTTCAGAGAGAGAGAGTGGGGCGGGGGGGAGTTCAGATATATATATATACACATACACTTTATATTGTAAATATATATAAATATATATATATATATATATTTACAATATAAAGTGTATGTGTGTGTGTGTATATATATATATATATACAATATAAAGTGTATGTGTATATATATATATCTGAACTCCCCCCCCCCCCCCCTCTCTCTCTCTCTGAACTCCCCCCCCCCCCCCCCCCCTCCAACTGCAAACTACAAAATCTACAAGAATCAGAAGTTCAAACCCATATCGGCATATCATTTCAGATTGTTCAAAAAATCAAAACCCATATCTTTCAGTTTCCATCGCCTGCTGTTCTAGTTCGGGTTCGCCGTTCGCAAGCTTCAGCCGCTGTCTCTCAACTCTCAAGCTTGCCCCCTTCTCTCTGTGCAATTGCTAACTTGTATGTATGGGTTTTGTTTTAATTTTTTTTCTAAATCAACTAATCAAGGTATGTAATTTTTGTTTTACAAACTAAATCCTATTTGGTGAAATTTTTTATGATCTTTTTTAAATATATATTGGGTGGGGGGGCATCCCAACACTCCCCCCCCCCCCCCCCCCCCCCCCGGCGCGTCTGAAATAGCAGTAGTTACCCTTCCCGCGTCTGAAATAGCAGTAGTTATTTCTTGTATTACAATTGGCATCAATTTTGGCAAAGTTAAAAATTGGTAGACAATACAACATTGCATTAGAAAGCCCATTTTTAAACCCACTTGCTATATTTTAGAAATGGCAACCCATATAGCATTGCATTAGAGATGCTCTTATATAATGCCATGTCAATTTCATAATTAGCGAATGATTTAAGTTGCCATCATTTCAAATGCATAATTAATACTTTAATTTTAGTCTTTGATTATTTTTGTTTAATCATATAATAACAATCATATAGTATTGCATTAGAGATGCTCTTATAGAACGCCATGTCAATTTCATAATTAGCAAATGATTTAAATTGCCATCATTTCAAATGCATAATTAATACTTTAATTTTAGACTTTGATGATTTTTGTTTAATCATATAATAACAATACCATGCGCTTTTAACCAAATGGGCAAGCCCAGCTGGTACAGGTTCCTCCTCTTCAAAGTGGGATCGGAAGTTCAAGCCCTAATGAAGACATGGGTGTATGTAATTACTTAATTTTTGAAACAAAATTAAAAAATAATAATAATAATGACAGCCCAAAGTATCATATATATGTAAAGCAATTATCTAACCAAGGCTCTTGTCCATAGCTCTCTCATACTTGAGAGCCATTACGCCATAACAAAAAGTGAAGAGTAAATTGCTATGAGACGGTTGCAATTTCTTAGCTCAAACAAATAAAACGATAAATACTGTTCTGATTCATTTTGGCTCGCACATGATGAACACCCATCATATAGATAAATCAACCCGTATATTCACACGACACCTCAATTCATCTAATGATATAAGCACTAAATAATAGATTTCATTAATATAAAATGCATATTACAGTTCATATAATTGCTACATAGGGGGTACAAATCCCAACAAAGGTATTGATTATTTCTTTCTTTCTTTTCTAAGCACTAAATGTTACACTTGTTTGTGTGGCTCTCTAAAAGTTCAACTGGAATACTTTATTGATAGATTTATACCGAGAAAAATAAAAATAAAATGTGTACATAGAAGAAGTTTAATGTGAGTATTTGTCCTGCACATCCTAAGTTAGTCATTATTTGTGTTTAGTTTACCTAGATGCTTTGAAGTTTGGTCTCCGGAGCCGTCAAAGTTTTCTAGTAATTCAATTTCTCTTTCTCACTAGAGTTCTATTTGTTTGAACGTAGAATATGTTTTAAAAAATATTTTTTTATTTTTTGATGTTTGATTGTCGTAAAATGTTTACGAAAAAAAATATTAAAATTTAATAAAAATAACTTATTCATCAATTTTCGACAAGTTATTTTACCTACTCCGTCCAATAGACTCGACCTCAACCTCAAAGTAGAACTTTGCCACGATAAAATAAAAATAAAAGAATATTTTATCTAAAAAATAAAAATATTTTTTAAAAAAAATATTTTAGGACTAAATAATCAAATTGATTTCTAACTTTGTTTAGTTTTACAACTCAAAAAGTTTGGAGAATAAAGATGATTGAAAACTAGCTAATGGGTTGACCACAAGGTTGTGTTGACTCGATATCAATTATTTTGGCTGAAAGATATTTAATTTTGAAAAATACACTAACTCGGTTTCTTAAGAACTTTTTTTTAATAGAGATAAGTGGGGCAGGCACACATTATCTACTTCTTGAAATGATGAGACACGTGTCATCTCACCTATAACCCTACTCTTCTCCAAATATCCAGTCTTATATATATATACATAAATAAAGTAGTGATGGTGATTAAAAAAAGTGCCAGAGTATTTTTTTACTATATAAGGAACAAGAGATCACTACTTTATTTATTTAATGGTCAATATAAAAAGTGCGAGAGAATTTTTTTACTCTATAAGGAACAAGAGATCACTACACTTTTAATGATCAAATTTCAAACCCACTTATATATTTTTCTTTTAATATAAAACCACTATCTTATTCCTAGTTTCTAAATTTAAAATTTACCAATATTACTAATTACAACTATAAAAGGTAAGTACCAAACAAATAAAAATATAAATCGCTTCACCTCTGGAACGTCTCACTACCACTAATCGGAATTTTTATACTGTTACTTTACATATTAGCAGTCTTTCATACTTTTTTTGCTTACAAAAAAAAATGATGATAATAATAGCAGTATTTAAGAAAAAACTAAGAAAAACAACTAATTTACAATGCAAATCTGAAATTTCATATAATAATATAATTTTTTGTTGTAAATCTCCTCATTATGTCAATAAATTTTTGTTATTATAGTAGAATTAGAAAAAAGATTTTGTACGACTTATTATGACAAATGAATAATTGAAATGTACTATGTTTACAACTAGTTAAAATCTGGAATAAAATAAGACAAAATTAACAAGAAAGATGAAACAATTTGTAACAAAAGGGTTAGAAAGCAATAGATTAAATTTCTAATTTTTAAATAACAGGCATTTGGGAAGGTATACAATAATTTAAATTGTGAAGTGTTGTGCAAATCACATGTTACCTTAAGTTAATCAAGTGGATAAAAAAATACAGATTTTATTTTTAATTTTTTTATTATTTTAAATATCAACTTTAGTATCAAGCCATGGATACAATTCTCTAACACTAATAATTTTTATTTTCTTATTAGTGATGAGACGTAATTTTGAGAGGTGAAAGCGATTATTGTTATAATTAATGATATCGGTAAATATTAAATTTGAAAATTTAACATAGTGATAATGATTTTATATTAAAAGGAAAGCATATCTAATGATCACTATAAAAAGTGCAAAAGAATTTTCTTATTCCATAGGAAGCAAGAGATCACTACCCTACATAAATAAATATATATATCTATATATATATATATTGTTGAATTATAAACCAAACAGCAACCCTTTATTTACCTGAGGGTAAAAGAGTCTTCTAATAGGGGTGCCTTGGACACATGATCATCAAGCCTCCCAAATTATCAAAAAAGTTGTATTTTTTAATTTTCCAAAAGAAAAAATGTCTACGCTTGTAAAATCATCATGTCAACCAAGTATAATTATCCTGTAAAATCTACATTTTTATCAAATCATGATGTCAACAAAGTATAAATAGCAGCCAATCATTTCAAGCAAAAGAAAAGAGTACGAAAAAGAAAAATTAAAGCCATCATCATCAACGCATGCAAGTAAGGCTAGGCATTAAAACAGGCAAAAGCCAGAGTTTAACAAAAATAAAGCCTTGTCAAGAGAAATCTAACTGAGGACACCTCAGTTTAAACTGAAACACTGAGAACATGATATCATCTTGCTTGCATGATTTGATAACCTTCACTGTCGACAGTAAAACAAAAAGAGACAGGTTCTATGTACAACCCACATCAAACTTGTCCTACTAAAGCAAGGAGATAAAAGGGCATACAAAGCCTCAACAAAAGAACATTGAATTGGACACATTCTCCTGCAACCTTGGCAACTGAGGGACAGGGACGGCCCCAGCAGATGTCACACCGCCATGGCTTGATGACGTCTCTGATAAGTCTTCGAACTTCATGAATTGCCCCATCTGAGTGGCTGCCAAATGAGCATAGCATATTGGAGCAACTGCATGTACACATACATATATATATATATTAGAGAGCAAAATTAGGAACCAAAACAATGCAAAACATAAAAAAGAGAAGAAAAAAAAAAGAGACAATAAATCAGGTTTCAAAGTGAATAGAACAGAAGTGATGAAACAAATGTTGAACTACAAATGTTTCTAAAAGGACGTCTAGATATTCCTGACAGATTAGTGTCCAATACTTCCAAAAACGAATCCATAATTTGAAAATAATGTTTTAATTTCAAACATGTATCTAGTTCGTCTAAAAGGTTATTCAATCACATATATCGGATACTCATCATATACTTTGACACATGTTCCACTGCCTTAGCATTAAAATATAACTTTTCAGAGTATAATATTATAGTATGGTTATTAGGAAAACTTAGAATCTCTAAAGTATTATGAGAAAATATATTATGTCTAATTTAATCCAAATTTTATCCATGCAACACAACTGTCATTTTTTATAAGAAAATGATAGTAAAAACATATTAGAATATAATGACCTTTTAACTTTATACAGCGATCATATTTTAATTGTTATACAAATATACATTAATATAATTTACATATACACATATTTTAATTGTGTCTTTATATCCATATACTATTTTATAAGAATTTATCACATTGTTGTATCCATGTCATCTATCCTGTATCTGCATGTGCTCATAATGTTGTGTCCTTCTATCCATATAATATTTTCTAAGAATTTATCACATCGTTGTATCCATGTCATGTATGTATGCTGTATCTGCATGTGCTTCCATAACCGTATACTTTTGTTGTGTATTAGCTTTTGACTACACAACTACTACACGGTAGCACTAGGATATATCTAGCTATCTATCTATCTACACACACACACATATATATATAGAGCGAGAGAGAGAGAGGAGACCTATCTGTATAAAAATGCAACAATAGTCCTAATTATACTAGGATCTTAAAACCCATCGACGGAAGAGTAAAGCACTCCTGGTATAACCGCTCTGAACAATATGTTACATTATGAAGAGGCCAAACTTACCAACAGAAATGGCAGTAGTGCTTCTCTGGTATCTGCAATAATTAACAATAATTCAGGAGAGCAGTTGAAATAAATTTATGGATGAATTAATTGTGCTGGGTCAAATCTACTTACACATAGGACAACGAATGTACAAGTTCCTGGAGATCATCTGCTGAAAAACCAATATCATCCAACAGAACATGGTAATGTGTTGGCCTTGTGGTCCCCTATGTAAACATGTTTAAAATCAGCCTGATTGATACAAAGATGTGACAACAGAGTGACTTTAGTTTGTGTGCGTGTGAGAGAGATTGATGTGACTGCGCAGGCAAGTGTATAGGGAGATAGAAAGACTGAAAACTATTTAATTATAAAAAATCAAAAAAATTAAATTTGGTGATGATAAGGGGAGGGGAGGATCAAAACCTGCCAGTCGGACCAATTCACTAAACAGAGGATTATACCCAAATATATATATATATATATGTATTACGACTATTAAAAATGATAGGAGATTGATGTGAGTGCGCAGGCACGTGTATAGAAAGACTGAAAACTATTTAATTATAAAAAATAAAAATAAAAAAAAAAATTTGGTAATGATACGGGGAGGGGAGGATCAAAACCTGCCAGTTACAAACAAACAAACAAACAAACAAAAAACCAAGTATTACGACTATTAAAAATGATAAATGATAGGAGCCGACAACTTTTATTTTGTTTTAAATTTTTTTGAGAAATACCAAAGCAAGATAACCATCATCACCATTCAACAAATTTTGTCAAAAAACACTTCATGTTTTGACTATTTTGGCATATGTACCTGCTCCAACATCAACAAAAATAAAAAGAAGGAAAAGGGATAGAAACAAAGATCTAAAAAAAAAAGGGTAAATTACCCGGATCTCCCCTATGGTTTGCCATAATTACAAGGACCTCCCCTAAAAATGAAAATATCCTACACGAACCTCCCTTTTGTTAGAGTCAACGTCAGTCAATGATGAAATTTGCTGATGTCATGCACTAAATAAATTGAAATTCCCAATATACCCTCATCTTCTCCATTTCATGTGTATGTAGACTGTATATTCTATACATAGTTTCTTCTATTCAATTGGCTATGATCTGCAATTCTCAGCAAAGGAAAAGCATCGTGTTACTATTGTATGTGTAAACTTTGGACTTCCAAATAAGAGGAAACATAACACAAACCCGATCTGGAGCTTCTTCTCTCTCTACTCTCTAACTCTCTCTCTCTTTAAACAAGAGTTAACTTCACCAAAAACCCGTCCATTTCCAAATCTGAACCCAATTGTTTGTGTGTAATTACAACTAATTCATCAAAATTAACTTGATACTCATCACCAAATTCTTCGTTAAATGCGGCTTTAATGGCTTCCGCAGAAGCTCAGTGACCACCACCAGTGTCACTCATCAAAATCAGCACCTTTTTCAGACTCTTCGACCCCGTTCCATTAAAGGAAAGACCACAATCCTCCAAAACACCACATCCATCTTCTCCCAATCCATTATTATCCCCGGAACCGACTTTTGACCGAGGCGAACCCAAGTGGGATTTTCCCACAATGAAACCTAATGTCACTGTTGAAATCAATAAAAAATTTCTGAATCCTCAAAGCACTTTGACTATTCAATCTCAATGAACCAACAAACTAAGACTTGTTTTCACCAGCCCAACTCCCAAACCCATCGAAGTACCCAGTAATTGGACAATACTGAAGCGCACCCATCTGAATTCAAATTGTTAAACCTAAAATTTGCAAGCAACGCAATTTGGATACAATATTGGGTTAAGATCGCTGGCGAAACTAGTCTTGAATGTGTTCCGAAAATCTCAAGATCGATGGCAAAACTGATCGAATCGGTATGTAAGTGTAAAGATTTGGGTGGCGAGGGGGTTGAATTGTTGGTTCTGAGGATGCTGTTGTCTGCGGTGATGTCGGTGTCGCTTGATGACAGGGGAGAGAGATTTAATTGTTTGATGATCGGGTCCATTGGTGCTCCGGTGTCGGCGAGGTGTCTTCGTCTTCGCAGAAGGCTTCGTTTTGGTCATTTTGGGTTTATTGTTTAGATCACAGTATATATATATATATATATATATATATATATATATATATATATGGGTAGTTCAGTCATTTACCATAGCAACTTGAGGGCATTTCAGTAAACTAGACAGATCCGTTAGTCCATTTGTCAGCCCGTCACTAATAGGGGTGGTCCATTTAGGATATTTTCATTTTTAGGGGAGGTCCGAATAAATCCCCAAATCACAGTGGAGGTCCATGTAATTATGGCAAACCATAGGGGAGGTCCGTGTAATTTACCCAAAAAAAAAAAATTACAGTTTTTATACTCTTCTCGAATAGTGGTCATCTTTAGGCATGCACTCTCGAGTAAAATTACACATTCAGCTGTAAATGTTGAACATTACAAAAGAGGGTCCAGTTTCGTTATCAATATGATCCCTAACATGACCTACTACATGGACATGGTTCAAACCTTAGAAAGTGTCCAGCAACCTACTAAAAGTACATGATTCTAGAACTTAGTGAGTAGTGAAAACCATTTTAATTGATATGCTATAAGAATGAAAATTGAAGATTAAAATCTTTGGCTGGAAAAAAAAAAAATCAATAATAGTAATAATAATAACTAGTTAAACATGTTTTCGATATGACAAGTCAGCTTGCCCAAATTTGTCCATAAAAGGAAGATGCCAAAAATCTGGACGGGGGTATGTTGGTGGTAATGCCATGTTGCTTCCATGTGCCAGTTCTTACTAGATGACCATCCTCACAACCCATCACTTCTTATTAAAGGTCAAGGAAACAAGATTTGTGAATGTTTGACTGAAAATACAGCAGATCATATTAATACTCACAATCATTCCAGCATGCGCGCACATATAAAAATCGTTGCTTCGAGGATGACAAACTCTGTTGTCAATAACAGTCCCTGCATAAACAGCAATGTGAAGGTGTTGCATTGAATGCAATAATTGTTTTTTGCATGTGATATAGTTGAAGGGCTAACCTGGTGGAACGTTATCAGGAGACGACTGCTGGAAAAATTTTGTATGGTGATTTTTCTGTGCAACAATCACCACAAACTTTGGAGACCATTTCTCATCAAGAAACTTGCAGGCCTGCACAAATTAGAAAGGAAATTTACATCCAAATTATTCTTTCTAACAAATGGAACAATACTGAAACAGCTTCCAAGTGGATTATTGAAAGGCATTGATTTTAGCATTGAAACCTCAATAATTTGATCCAATTCGATGTTCAAAACTTGGTTGAACTGTGATTCGCTGACTCCATCCCTTTTCAAAAAATCAAAACATCATTGATCGACAAGCAAACAATAAAACAAAGCTTTTGTCAGGGAAAAAAAAAGGATGTTTAAAAGCAGCAGCATACATAGATTTAAAAATGAGAATCCTAGTGAACTTAACACCATACAAGAAGTAAAACATCAAAGACGACAGATGTAAACACAGAATTCGTCAAATCACAAACAATAGGACATGCAAACTATTAAACATGTTTTGACATCATGCAATAGTATATAAGAAACTAATTCAGGTGATAAAACTAAAAGAATTACACATGCCATGTAGTTGAAACAGTAATTACTCTGTGAGATGTATCCAAATATTTATTATTTGACACTCACACATCATATACAAATCGATTATGCTTTGTGTTGGCCAAACCATAAAATGTAAGCAACAGAAGTTTTCAAAATTCAAGAGATCACAGCGAGACAAGCTGTTTATCATTACGACAGGTGTTAGTGGAAGTGCAGTGATGTATGAAGCAAAGATTTGTTGTAGTTTGCAACACAACAAAACCTTACGGCTGGAGCAGATTTGTTACCAAGACCATTATCCCATGCTAAATTACTTTCATTGACCTAATTACCTGGACATATAAGTGAACATACCGAGGTCAACTCCGGAAAGATTAAAAAATATTGTACTGATAGCAATTTACTTTTCAATGGTTTGCATGTCTTCTCCCAAGCCCGGCCAAGATAACAAAAATCTGTGTCAACTGAGGGGTTATTTCATAACAATGTTGTTATTTTTTCAGGTCATGTCATATTTATCAGTTGTTTCTGATCCTCTTTACATTTCTTTTGTTCTCAGATTTTATTATTTACAGATGCCTACAGTATTTTCCAATTTTTGCCTCCAAAACAAATTATTCTAGACCTATAAATTACCATAACTCAAGAACAAAATCAAGAATATATATCATAAAACAAGTATGACCCAACGAAAATACCTACTGCAGCACCACCTAGCATTTAGCTCTGGTGGTATCTCCTACGCACACATGGGAGGTCAAGGATTCAAGCCCCTACCAAGGCAATAATTAGCTAGGAAGCATGAATATAATACATGGACATGGCAACACGGCAAAACCAAAAAACTAAGACTCAGACACAACGGTAACAATCAAATAATAATTATATATCTTTATTTATGTAAATAATATATTATAAACCTTCCGTCAAATTAAGAATCAAAAATCCAGTATTGAACCACTAAAACAGTTCTCTTGTTTAAGAAGAGAAAATAAAAGAGAGAATGGACCAAAGTATAATTTCTAAACTTCCTTTATAAAGTTTGTTGTAATCTAAATCCATAACTAAACAAAAGATTCAGTTGTACAAAGAAGTACATAAAATTGATTCAAGAAAATACTTTTCGAAAAAAAGATCAAGTACATAAAATTGATTCATAGAATATATGTAAAAGAACTTTTTATTTTTTGTGTTTTGAACTCATTACTATTTGTCATAAACGGTACAACGCCCATCTCTATGGCACCGTACCGTATGGCACCGGTAGAGTTGGATGAGTTGAAGGGGCAAAACTTCTCAAAGAATTTTACATACTAGATATTTTAACCCATTTTCTTTCCTGAAATTTTTTAAAAATCCACCTTTAATCAGACAGGTGTATTGTGGAGCGTCCACATCGCCATGGCGTGTCCAATAAAGAAAAATATTCAAACACATATTTTGCATTGTATGACACATGTCAGGCCGCACAGATCTTTTAGTAATGGGTATCGACTGCAGCCAACTGGAGAATAAAAATTACCTGAATATGATTATTTGATCGGGTTTCCTCTTCCCTGAACTCGTATAAAAATCCAGCAAAAGTTCCCTGAAATGAAGGGAAAAAACTGAATTTGGCAATCCGAAACTTTTCTGATATTAATGGGAGTACAAACAGAAAACCAATCACTTAAATAATCAACTGACAAACGTATTTCAGAAACCATCTGCAATTCTGATTCAAATAATCAATGGAACTTGCAAGTAAATAAAACAGTAGCACAATGTTCTAAACAAATCTACTTAAGATCTTACCTGATAATGCCATCATCTTCTTGAGTGTCAGAAACTCGCTTAAATAGAGAATCAATCATTTCAACCTTTGGTGACTGCGTACGCACTGAGGCCCTATAACGGGAAATCAGTGGCCAATGCCTGGAGCTTACCACCTATGGAAATGGAAAGAGAGCACACAGTTAAACAGATTCATATCCCAACCCCCACCCTTTTTTGGTGTTTGGGTACTGCTTCTAAGCTATTGACAATATCAAAAAGTTTTCGAAGGAGTGAAAAGCCATATAAATGCCCCACCCACACACACACACACACAACAACAAAAAAAAAAAAAAAAAAAAAAAAGAGAGAGAGAGTAAAAGGCAGCATGTTACCGCAGCAATCGAAGGTACATCAGACTGGCCAGGAGAGCCATGTGAAACATCCATCCCAAGAATAATGGTTGGAGCCTTCGAGACCAAAGGTATTGAAGGAGAATGTTCAACAGCTAACAAAGAATTCAACCCACCAAGCTGCAAGGAAGTGAAACAAAAGGACATATAGGTATTGAAGGAGAATGCACAAGACCAGACTCAGTGAACTCACCGAGAAAAACGCTAAGAATCACATTAGAAACGTACACCTGAATAGAGCATCTTACCTTTGCATTTATCTTAAGGAGAACATTTGTAATATATTGATCATTGACTCTTGTAGGAGCAATGCATTGAGTAACAATACCAAGTTCAGCAAGATTCTTTCGTTTCCAAGGGCCTTAAGAAGTTAAAAATGAATTATTTTTTATCAAACACATCACACAAACCAAGATTATAGATAAAGGAATAAATCAAATAAACACACACCATAGAGATCTGAGTTTTTTCTCTCTGGAAGCAGGCAAAGAAGGAATTGAGGTGCCCCAGGAAGTCTAGACTGTATCTCTTCGAACATCTTCTCCACCCTAACAAGAGGAGGGGCCCTTCTACACTGTGGATTCTCTTCAAAGACATCAAATGGAGGATCTATGGACTAGAAATTAACAGGACTTGTCAGTCCCTTGATTTTATGTAGTGAAGTAAATATTAAGCAAACCTATAATGATGAGGAAACATACTATTCCTTTCATTTCTCCACATTTGATTAAATTACTGACAAGGCCACGAATATCGCAGCGAGCAGAGAAATTAACAACAGCCCAGCGTTCTATCTTAGTTGGATTCACAAGTTTCTATTCAAGCATTCAAAAACAATGAGGTTAGGTATGGCAGGATAAAAATCATGGTAGGAAAACGGGGGGAGAGGGAAAAGAATAAGAAAAGAAACCTTATTGTTAAAATTCCACCGTCCATTCCGAGGGAAGAAATCTTCTCCATTTCCCACTTTTAACTGTAATAGACAAATATAAAATTAGTCTAAAGCTGATCTTACCCCTTCATGATCCAATATTCAAGAGAACTAAACACAAGACAATTTTCCAAAACAGAGCGAGGTAAATACCCTTGGTGCAGAGAGAATACGGCCTTCAACCTGTGTGAAGTTAGTACTGATTGAAATGCCGCATGAACTAAGCATGGGCTCCTCATCATAATTGTTAATTTTCAGAGCCTGTCAAAGCCCATGAAAGACTTTAGCGTACAACAAAAATATGTTAGTAAAATGGTATAGGGAAGAGACCCACCTCACTCAATACTCTCATCCTTTCTTGCGGCTTTTGCCTAGACTTTTCCACTAATGAAGCTCTTTGAAGAGTCGATAATGCTTTTGTATAACGTTGCAAGGACACCAACGAACAGAGCTAAAAAAGTAGAAAACACACATATAAAGACCATACAATGAGAAGGGAATCACATGCAGATTTTTAACTGAACAGAACTATAACACATTGCTTCACCTCAAGAGGGAAGTAAGTTGGACGCTTTGGCTTTCCAACATTAATGCATGGCAGATCAGCAGAATAACGCAAGGCTATATGGCGATGATTAACGAAATAATCATAAACAGTCACTTCAATTGTTTCACCAACCTCATCCTTCCCACTTTTCTGCTTCAATGAAAACCTACAACATGCAAACACACGACTTAGTCTGCAGTATTTAAAATTCAACTATTAAATAATTCCTAAATTGAAGGGGGCTGGGAGGCCATGCTAGGTAATTGCGGTGCAGTCATAAATATGAAATCAAAATTTATGTAGCATTGCCAAAGGAAAAGGAGAATAATAATAGCAGGAAAAGCCTACATCTGCTCTTTGCATGGCATCTCACTTAATCCAGTTATCTTGTACTCAGTATTGGAGGGGTTTGTCTTAACCCTCAAATTCTTTAGAGTGCGTTTCGCCTGATCAAACAAGTGACAGAGGCTTTAATTTATGGGAAAGTAAATATTAGTACAGCACCAAAACTAGGGTGAGATTTACCTTCGCCCAGTCAATCGAAAAGGGATCTTTCACATTCTGGTTGGCAATTAGGAAATCTACCACTGGCCCAGGCTGGATTATCATTGTGGTAGATACATCTGAAAGTGAAGATAGCAAATTCAGTCATTCTATCGGTATAATAATATGAATTCAGAAAGGCTTCTCTCCAGGAAAAAATACCAATGTTCAGAGATAAGCCACTCTGAGTAGTTCGGAAACTTGAATGAAATCCTCTGCAACCAAGTACACCACCACCAACATCTGCAAAATTCCTTGGCTCGTTATGGAAGAATGACTGCCGAACAAGGAGGCAACCCCTGCAGTTGACCAAATTTAGTTAGATAATGATTCAGATGAGAAGCAAATCCATAAAATCCCTTGAATATGAAAAAATTACTGTTTTGCTGCATGCTGTCTCAAAATGATATCCAAGACTCTTAAAGCTTCCTGAGAGTTCTCCGACTCCTGACCACGTAATGCATTTGCAATGGCTTGCATAGGAATCTTTGCAGCAAAGCTTATCTCCACTTTAAAAGTTTTTGATTGATAAGGGCGTCTCAATCTCTTCCTGTCGGTGTCATTTGGACTTTCATGATCTCCAGGGCTGCCATTTCTGGTATTTCTGAATATAGAAGAACCAGTTAATACAGAGTCAAAAAGTCAATAACAACATGACACCTAGTGCGGAAAACGTATCAAGAACCATGCGTTATGTACCTAGTTGAAGTAATATCCTCAAGCACAACAGTGAACTCAAGTTTATTGCGAGGCAGAGGACCAACGGTAAACAAACTCTTCTCCCCATCATAAGCAAAGTTTTTTCCCGCTAACTCGGTATCATAAGTCTCCTGAACTCTATCAATAACTTTTCTTCCAATGCCCTTGCCATCAACCGGGCGGCCATCTTCGTAAGAAAGGGAAACCTGAATTAAAATTATAAATAGAAGAGGAAAATGAGTACAAATAAACCATAAAACTCATGTTTGAGAAAATCCAAAAAGTGTGCGCATTTGTCTAAAGATAAGAGTTGAAAACATACACTGTAGTGAAAAAAATGTCCATCAACATTAGTTACATTCACTTTAAAGTGATTAGTCAGAAGTGTTGTCTTTTGCCCCTTGGATCCCAGGCCACGTCTAGCTATCGGAACCCGCACAACCTTTTTCTTAACCGGTTCAGAAGCAAGCTCTGGTTCTGCTCGTACTGGAACAACATTTGGCGGAAGAGGTGGGGGAGGTGGCAAAGAATCCAGTGCCCCATTTCCATCTTGTTCAGAAGTATCCATTACCAAATCCTAAGCAAAATTATAATTAAATATGGTAAGAAATATCAAAAAGTGCCCAAGAAAATTTTTAGAATATAAAGTTATTTGGTAAATGTTGTGAACCCAGCATAAACTATACAAGTCAAGACTAATGACCTAATGAAGTGGGTTTCATAAGTAATACGAGTCAAGATTAATGAACCTATTAGAAAAGTTATACAGTCTGACGCCATTAATGCAACAGCATTTCAGACTAATTACAAGAACATAAGTTTTGGAACTTATAAAAGCATCACTTTCATATGAAACACGAGCAGGAACGAGAGTACAAAAGGTCAGAACACCAAATAACAACACTAAACACCTAAAATAACTATAAATTGTGTTTCCGTGAGGTGTTCAAACCCTGAATGGTATCAAAACTACTAAGACAATGCTAGAGCATGCTTGACCTCATAACCATTCCAACAACTCTGTAAAGATGTAGCCACTGCTTATATGCATGGCTACCAAAACTCAAGCCTCTGGCATTGAAAGTAGAACTCCTGGTACACGTTGAGAATTGATGTGGGACCTTCCTGAACCCCGAATATCACGATAAAGAGATAAGGCTTGAAATGCACCTCATAGTTGGCCACAGGCAAGTATCATTTTGAACATTTACGTACATTAAATCGTTTATCATGTTGTAATACAAACAATTTTTGTCTATATCTCCATGTGACAAATAGGGAACTCCATCAAAATTCATGCACATTTAGCTACATTAAATGGCATATGATATTGCAATGTATGATATTATTGTAATTTAAGGATATAGTTAAATACAATTTAAATTACAAGCGCACAATTTTTATCTATATCGCCATGTAAGAAATAGGTAACTCAATCAAACTTAAGCAAGTAGAGGGTCACGAGTCCAATTTGGGTTTGTGAGTAGGACATGTATGATGTATCCCACACCATACATGTATTGCGTCATGTCAACGCAAGTACCTAGGGAGATGCACAAGAGTCTAGGTAAATAACTATAAATCATATTCACTTTGAACTGGCAACGCCAAGGGCCTCGTAGGCCACATGAGGTGGCTGTGCAGAGTTGCTAAGCCAACCAGAAGGAAGAAGAAATATGCCTGAACACACATAATCCCTAAGGCTTTACCTATCCTAAAATACACAAAATGATGTCTTTCTAACAATAGCAAGACATGGGGCACATAGACATACGAAAAGGAATTTTTTTATAATAAATGGGGCACAAGCAAATGATGCAGATGTCAATCACAAAATGAAAATATTATATGTGTATTTATAACAATGCTGACACCACGATGATAGTACAAAAACATTATGGTCAATTTGAACTTGACACCGCAATGAGGTGTATTAAGACTGCAGAAGGCACACAAATAATGATCAAGTACACTAAGAAACTCGGCAGCAAAACAGATTTCAAACACACCCAACAAATTGAAAGAACTTTGCTAAAATTTTAAAAAGCCCTGATCAACCCTGGTTTGAACATTTAGCAGATACAAGACTTTTCGTGGAATATATGTGTCAAATCCCCAAATAGAAGGACACATGGACACCTAAATATTCATATTATTTTATTTTATTTTCTAGAGTAAAATAATAATTTCATGTAACACAGTGTCTAATAAAAGTACCTCCCTCATTTTGAAGGGATAAGTTAATTTAGATGCATGTCCAACCAAAAATCCAAGACACATATCTCATCATAATACCCATATCCAAGTACTGGGTGTCCGGGTACTTCACCTACTTTTGAAGAGTCCATGTAACATAAATATCACAAAATCTAATGAGGTTTTGGAACCTGAGACTCTTGGTCATGGAACAAGAACTCACAACTGAGCATTAAACAAATAAAGGAAGAAAAGATAATAAATCATTCTGGTGCATATAAATATATCTTAAAACCCATAATAAACCTAATGGTGCAAACATACAAAAGTTGAAGACTACCACAAATCCACAGCAGGATCAGGCAGGCACAAACAAGGCATCGGTGACCAAGGAAGCTGAAAAAACTCAAGATGACAAAAGGATACTAGAGGCTAAAAAACTTCCCATAAAAATGCTATAAACCCACTACAAAGTAGTAAAAAACCACTTCGTATAGGTTGAAAAATCAGAAATCACAAGCAAAATCCAGTGTACTTATGTTTTTACAGAAGAAAAAAAAAGAAAAAAAAAAAAAAAAAAAAAAACACCAAAACGCATCCACAGTAAGCAATGATGTTGACAAACCCTCTAACGTGAAAAATGCAGTGAAAAAAATATAGGCAGAAGAGACAATAAACCATCCAGGTACATAGAAATAAATCTTAAAACCCATAAACCCTTATGGTGCAAACATGCAAAAGTTAAAGGCCACAAATCCACCGCAGGATCAGGCACAAACAAGGCATCAATGGCCAAGGAAGCTGAAACAAACCTAATATGACAAAAGGATACTAGAAAGGCTAAAAAACTTCCATAAGAATGCTATAAATAGGAAACCCCACTTCTTATAGACTGAAAAATCAGAAACCATAAACTCACAACAAAATAAGTAAAATCCAGTGTGATGATGCTTAAAAATTAAAGATATATAAAAAAAATAAAAAATAAAAAACGCCTCCATGGTAATCATCATGATGTTGACAAAGCCTCCAACGTGAAAATGCAGTGAAAAAAAAAAAAACTAGAAAACCCCTTTAGAAAAGGCAAACAATATAACCAAAAAAAAAAAACAAAACCACCAAAATCAAAAGCAAATTAGGGTCAAACAAAGAACACATCTGGTGGAAAAGAGACATGCAAAACACACATCTACATCAAATATTACCTAAGCGAAAGGAGAAAGCGTTCGGGAAAACCGAGCCGAAATTTTCCTGCAACAACGAAAGAAAACCCAGACCAAAGAAAGCAAAGATCAAACTCAAAACCCACAAATAAGCAAGAACAGGTCTCTACAAACCCAGAAACAAAAGCGCATTGAAGAAATTATTAGTATTATTCATATGAAAACACCAAAAACACTTCGAAAAAACACAAAAACAGTTGAAAATTCAAAAATGCCTTGAAGGTTGTGAGATACTAGCCCTACCTGAGACAAAAGGAAGGCGGTAAACACGAAGAAGAAGAGGAACAGAAACCCTAGAAGCAGAGCTCTGTGGACGCCATAACAACTAGGGAGAATGGAGCGTTCTAGAGAGAGAGAGGGGAGGTCATTAAATAGTAGCAGAATGTAGGACACTATAATACAACCACTACTACGACTACTAAAAGACACTCTGCTAGGCGTTTGAAGCCCACTCGCCGCCTCCGTCATTTTAATTTATTCTAGGGTTTGTTTGTTTGTCTCGTCACTCGCGCACGAGTAAGTGTGACTTCATTATTATTATTATTAATTAATATATAGTATAATATATATAGTACTAATCCGCTACAGGCCACCACAGCTAGTGTTGCATAACCTAAACATTTAATGGATTTCCGATATCTCCAATATTTTCTAACATCTTTTTTTTTTTTTTCATATTCCATGTAACAAATAAAATAAATAAATTCATCATCATCATTTCTTTAAAAATGAATAAGAGAAAAAAAGGAATAACTTTGAAAGAAAATTATTAAAGCTTGATTGAAGTAACCTTTTATTAAAGAAATTTAAAGAGTTCTTGAGAAAAAAAATAAAAAGTTAAATAGATCATTTTACAAACTAATAATTTTAGGGGGCATTACATACAAATTTATATATATATATATATATATATGTATGTATGTATACTGAGCTTGGAGAAAATTCCTTTTTTTTTTTTTTTTGCAGAATCATGAGATTGAGTGTACAGTTAAAATAATATTTGATATAAATAACTCGTTTCTTGTTCTTCGAGTCCCTCAAACTGCAAACACCTACACCCCTGTCAATGTAATGGAAATGTATCTACGTAAATTACATAACTTCTCTTTTCTCATATGTATCTTATCTTCAATCTTCAAAATTTAATAAATAAGATAAAATAATATGTCATATTTAACCACCTACTACTATACAACTTAATTTATACTATATACAATTGCATGAAATTAATACATTAAAATTGGAAATTGCAAAAAAAAAAATTAATTTAAATTTTAAATTATATTTTCTTCAATTTTAATTTCAGAGCATCAATTCTATACCTATTATTTAAATGATTCGAAAAAGAAAGAATTGGTCCAAATATATTCGTGAAAAGTAAATGCTATCGTTGGATTTACTTTAGGGTAGTTATCATTTTTTGTGATGTTATGTATAAGAATATAGTTGATGCCACTCGTGTGACTTGGATGAACAGTCAGATTTTGCATCTATATTTCAATGTACCTCACTTTTCAATATTTTACAAGTAGTGCCATTTAAAATTTAACATGTGAATTAAACTTCTCTTACTTATAAATTTAATTTCAAAATATTGCAACACTATGATGACCTAGAATATAGAGAGTCATGCTCCTTGTAAAATTGAGCACTTCTTTGTCATCTAGTTGATAGAACACTCAACTTTTTGGGGGAATATGCGCGTGTTATAACACGAGTCTCCTCTCCCCTAATTTACCAGAATAAAAATAAAATAAAAAACTACCTACAGTCTCTAGAAACTTACACATCTTTTATAATCAATTATAGGAGGGGCTATTGTTAAGCATAGTGATGTTGTTACCCTAGGAAGAACGGATACTTCTCCAAAGGTGTCATGGTGATATTGGATAAGTGTTTAGTTCTGATATGCCTGGGATAGGTTCGGACACGATACTCCAGAGAAGTATCTGATTTTTAAAATAAATTTTTAATTTTTGGATAGGATTAGGATACACTGAGGATACGGTGGACTTTAAATTTATTTGATGTTTAAATGTGTTGTGAAATGAAATCTTGTGTTTTATTATTATCTTCTTTATTTATGAATACATTAATCATTACATTTAAATTCATAATATTATAGGAAATTAATAAAAATATATATTTTTTATGTAAAAAAATTATCTATGTTTTCATACTCGTATCCTATTTTTTGAGATTTACCGTTTTTATGTGCCCATATCTTATCGTACTCGTATCCATGCTTCATAATTATTAACAAACCTCTCATCAAAACCTACTTATTTACTGTAGGATTTGGAGATTTATTAAAAACTTAATTTTACTTTTTATATATCTCAAAACTTGTGGTAAATTAAAAGACATTTATGACTTATGAGTTTTGTCACATAGGATTCTCTTGTCAAATGGTTACTTGCTATCAAAATGTACTATTAAAAGTTATTTAACTTTTGTTGCCTTATCCTACTATTCTTCACCTTTTGAAAAAAAAAATTAATATTAAAATTTATTTACCAATAAATTATTGAAATGAGTTAAATGATTATATTTTATTTAGTTAGATTTTTTTATCATCTTTTATATTTTATGCTATTTAAAAAAATTAGTAAGATCATTTAATATCAATTACGTAATAAAATAATATAATTTATTTATTTATGTAGTTCAAAATGTAGTAATTTGAATTTAAATGAGTGCATGACAACTGTTTGTGAGAGAGTCCACCGCCACAGAATCGCAGTAATAGTTATTGTCTCACGCTCCCACTAAAAGTTTCACTTTTTCAGTTTTGACAGCGAATAGTTTCTGAAATGCCGATAATACCCTTTGGGTAAATAGAGCATTAAGGCGCGCACATTATAATATGGATGGTCAATTTCGGGTGAAAATAAATTAGTAAAGGTCTTCTGATTAACCGTCACAGAGGTGACGCTTGTTTCAAACCCACTACAAATGTTCAAGGACAGCCGTAGATGCCGCTCTCCACTAGAGGAAATCTATGGTGGATGATTCACCTGTGGCTTCCTCCTGTCACAGTCCGCCATAATAAACTTTCAAGAGCCTAGTGGATCTGGGACGTATCATAGCAATTAGCAGATCCTCTACGATTGTTTCCGTTTTACAGTTTCTTTCTTTTCTTGTCTTCTCCTTTTCTTTTTTTTTTTTCTTTTTTTTAACTGAATAATCTTATCTTGAGAGTTGAGAGTGATTTGAGCGCATTTTAGTACTCATTTGTTTTTTTTTATAACACATTTCAGTTCATGTTAGCATAACTCCCATAATAGGTCTATGGAAAAGATGAGATGGGACAAAAACAAAATATATTACATAAAAATACACACAAAAGGTCGTTCATTAGGACGAAATTCTTAGGCCATTACACACGAAATCACCTTTGAAAATGTAGTTCATTAGGATGAAATTCTTTCAATATATATATATATATACTAGTCAATGTGTAGGTGCATAAATAAAGTATAATTTGTTATTAAATTAAAAAAATATAAATATTTTTATATATCTTTCTTACATTCATCCTAACAAAATTCAAAAAGAAAAATAAGATTCACCATATTAATTATTTTTTAAAAAAGAGTCATAATAGTTAATGAAAAGAATGATGATTAAGTGAACTCGACCTTTAACAATGTTAAGCAAATAAGATAAAAAATAGTAACATACAATGGTAAAATTGTTGCAATGAACCGAAAGTATGTAACACATTAATTTTTTTGTTTTTAAATATAATTTTTGCCCCTTGGTATTATAAGGATATCTCTTGGTATGCTAAATATAATGACACCCTTATTGATTCACTTTCTTATTCATGATTAAATATTTCAAATAGTATGATGAAAATCTTTTCAAAAAAAAAAAAAAAATTATTATCTTAATTAATAAATAATAACATACTATACAAATAAAAATAATTAAAGCAAACGAAATGAATAAGATAATTAGTAAACATCTTTGACATTAAGAAAAAACAAAAAAAAAAAATTCCTTGAGAAGAAATTTGATTTGAACCATTCAATACATATATTTGATAAGATGTGAAAAACTCAATGGGAAATAATTTTGCTTTCACGAAGCATATTTTTTTTGTAATGTTTCTCACTTTTCCAATTTTTTTTGGGCATTATCGTATTTGTGCATCTATTCAGTTTATTGCCGAGTTACTCATTTCTTTCTAGCTGAACTTATTCACTTTGTGTGTCATTTGTCATATACATGAGGGTAGCATGGACTTTTGCTGTTGTAATGGCCTAATGGTGATTTAGGAAGACTAGAAGGGCATTTTGGTCATTTGGGAGGCTCACACCTTTGACCCCTTGTATGTGTGACACCTATACACACACAGGCACCTTTAGTTTATGCATTTGACTGTCCTCCCACATGTTCAGTTTGTAATTGCTTCTATTATTTCCTCCTCCTTTCCCCATCACCATCCTCCATTGAGGGTTATCTTTAAGCTTCCTTTCTGTACCTTGTAGTGATAATTGAAGGTTGTCATTGGGAGAGAAAATGATCACAAGACAGAGGGCTTCCCTTTGTCATAGCTTTTGGACCCATTTCTTCATCATTGGTTTTGAAAGATCATCTTAAAAAAAGGGTTTTGTTGGTGCTTTAAGAGGAAATTTTGCTCCTCTTCCTTTGCCCCATTCCATTGGTGATTCTTAGTTGTCCTTGAGGGTTGGTTTGGTTAGACAGAAATAGATTGTAGAAAGTGAAAGTAAAAGAAGTTGAAATGAAAGAAAAGAAAATTAAGTTTCCATGGTGCATTTGGTTAGGATGAAATTTTTTTAAGAAAGTTGTGAGAAAATATTATGTTATTAGTTTGGATAGAATGAAAGAGAAAAGAAAATGATTGTACTTGTCAAAATTGTCGTTTTAATTTTAAAAACTAAAAATGTAAATAAATTTGAGTAAAATGAATTCATGCATCAAATTTTGTTGTCGATAATAATATTCTCAACTTGTATGAGACACAAGTCACCTGAACTTCTTTCGTCAAAAATATTTTAATATATATATATATATATAACCACTTTGATGAAATCGAATAAGATTAGAATTGTTTCACTAGATGTTTTATATTAGAATAACTAAAACCAATTGAATTTTACATATAACCACTAAGTTTACGAGGGTTTTCTTTTTGAATTCAACTGGAATTATATAACTATAGAATATTTTGTATTAT